AATTTAATAATAGAAAACTTTTACTAAAAGCAATAGATGATGTTATTATACATTACCTAGATATTTCATTTAATTTAAATTGTAATTGTAATAATTTTAATAATTTTAATTATGCTTCAGTTTATAGACTCAAAGCAGTTCATTTGAACATTAATGATAATCATATTCATTGTGTACTATCTTATTATAAAAATATTAATAATATTGAAAATAAATATAGAAATAGATATGAGTCATCATGTGATATTATTATTTCCTTTGCAAAATAATCAAATCAAAATAAATGAATACTGCATGAATACACAACATTAATGGTCAAGTTATCAGATGCATATATGTCAATACCATGATAGATGAACTTAAATAATAAAACAATTTTATATAAAGATGGCACTGCAATTAGTTGCAACTATATGATACTTATTTGTCACTAGTTGCAACTAGTTGCAACTTAATTTTTATTAATGTTGCAATTAATTGCAATTCTGTGATGCTTATTTATTACCGGTTATAACTAGTTGCAGTGTTATCTTTAATTTTGTAGCAGATTTCAAAGGATTTCTTAATAAAATAATACCAGCAAAGGCTTTTTGTATGCTTAGATATTTTGAAAGGGCCTCTGATTGTGATGATTGAAACTTTATCGTGATAATTGATGTGATATCTATTAAGTTTACTAGTATTAAAATGGTCAAAGTATACATAGTTATACTTATGTTACTTAGGAGTATTATTTCTAAAGTATATAATACAGTTATCTTAATGTGATATCTTCATAATTAGGGGCCTTATTTCAAAGCTAAATTATGTTACTTTCACAATAATATTGCTTATGCAGCTTTTTCCTTAAAGAAGAAAATGTTTGATATATATTGAAACTGATAAAAACTGATAAACCTATCAAATATGACATATCTGCCAAATAGGACATATTTATAATTTATATCATTTCTATTATTATTATTATTATTATTATATCTAACATATATATTATTTATTTCATATTTAACATAATTAGTATATCTGTTAACTCTGTTATTATTGTCAATAGTATTATTAATACTATAGATTTTCTTTAATTATAATTTTTTTATATAAAGGGCATGAAAAATGTTTTGAAAAAAGGACAGATTCCAACAGATCCTAACATTATATTTAATATACATTTAATAACAATAATAAACAATATTAACATTTTACAAACATAAAATTTATAATTTTATTCTTATTAATTAAACAAATTATTTAATAAATAGCGTGTCAAGTTGATTAGATTTAAGTTATAGCTATTGTCTTCCTAACTTCAAATCATAATTAACTTACTCAAAGGAAGAATAATGTTAATAATGTAAGCAACATATTTTACATAATGAATTTATTTTAAATGAAAGATCTAGATTACTCAGCAGAAAATATAATAATAATAAGATATTATATTTCTCACAGATTCTTTCTCTTACTCGAAATAATTCTAATAATTACAAAAATAAAAAGACAACATATAATTCAAAGAGCCCTTTAGCAAATCAACAGAATAAATTATTTATAATTTTGATCAAGTTAAAACACTAATACTGATCAATAACACAGAATATATCAATCATCAAAATCTAATAGAATCACTTCTGAAATTGCTTCTTCCAATGATTCTTTAACACTTATCCTAAGTAAATTTCAAGAATTGGATTCTATTAAAACTCATTTAGCTCAATTAGATATTCAATTTAACAACTTCATTAATTATAACAGATTACCTATCTATGGATTATAACAATTTTATATCAGGTGAATCATTGAATAGAAGCTTCCTTATATTGACAACCAGGACTCCAATAATTATTACAATGAAGTATTAAATTTTATCAATACTCAAAAACAAGAATTTTTCACAATTAAAGAATCTACAATAAAAACTATAAATAATGATATTTAAACACCCAATCATATTAATATAGAAAAGATAATAAATGGTAACATTTTAAGATTACTACATATAATATTAGAAGCATATATGAATTTATAGATCTAACTAAAGCAGATTAAATCCTGAAATACTGTATGATTAAAAACTTAGATATAGTTAGTTTAACAGAAATAAGACACACATAAAAATATCATCATCAAATTTAAAAATAATGCGTATTATAATTTTTACTGGAACTACCTTGAACCTTCAATCCATATGCAGGAGTAATTTTACTTATCTCAAAAAATTGGAATAAATTTATTTTTAGGATAAACTTCATTTTACTAAGATTAATATATATAGACATGATACTAAGAAGGCATATAAAACTCAGAATTTTTCATATTATATTCAAGCAAACACTTATAATCTCTTCTATGCACATGAACAAAGACTCTTGCAAAAACAGATATTAGATTTAATTGATATTTGTAATCAAGAAAATTTCCATATTATTATAATAGGAAATTTTAATACTAATCTCAATGACTACTATCACAAATGAAAAAATTACAGCAAGATTGAATGACACTTTCATTTAATTGATAGACTCAGCTGAAAAAACTTTTCAGACCTTTAAAAAAGTAGCCAAGAAGACAATCTCCCTATATTTTCTTTATCTAATAATAATGATATTGATAATAGTTTACTCAATAAAATAGATAGAATTTTTACTTCGTCAAACTTTATAACTGATTTTTTATACTGCATTCTTTAAAACTGTTATTATACAAATCTAATTATAAAGTACTGACTAGTTTCTTTGTTAACTTCAAAAACATGCAAGAAGCTAATTCAAAAAGAAAATATACCAAACAAAAAAAATTCAAAATGGCCTTATAATGCTAGCTAATTAGACATTATTTGCTAAAATACTAGACAAATACTATTATCAATACCATTTAGAGAAGTTACTTTTATTACCCTTAACTCGTAACTTTATGAACTATATATGAGAAGAACTCAAAAACTCTATTATGACCATTGCTATACAATTATACCATACTGTTGGATCTCAGCTGATCAAAAAACAACCTAAACCTAACAATATTATTACTTTCTATAACTGCTTAAATGACTAAATAAAATTGTTCTCAAATTCAGATCCAAAAGAATTAAATTAAAAATATGACCTATAGGAATGAATAGACTGATGATCTTAAAGTCTTTACAAATATTATCTTTGAATCCAAACTTCCAGATATTAATCTACCTTTAGTTATTTATAAGAATAATATTAAAGTAATCAAAAAGAATCTCTTAAAACTATACCATAATATCAAAGTGCTATTATAAACAGAAAAAGAACAAATTAAGCAATACACTGCATTCATCAACATTGCTTACAATATGACATTGATCCAGAAAAAATGATTCAGTCTGCAATAAGAAAATATAATAAATCGATTATAATTAATAAACTCATGATTAAAAAAAGATAATACTCACATCTTAATCACTGATTCTCATCTCATTAAATAAAAAGTTAATGATCATTTTCAAAATTGTGTTATTTCTAACAATCTTGATACTCCACTTTTTGGAAAATGGATAGATCAATACCAACTGAAGACTAAAATATTAGATCCATACTTTTGTAATATCATGCAACTACCTATTTTAGAAGAATAGCTAAAAGTCTTAATATAATTTTCAAATAACAAAACAGCAAGCCCTTTAGGAAAACATAATGAATTTTTAAAACACCTTAAACTACTAATATAGTGGCTCTTCTAGGATCTAATTAAAAGGTATTTCATACTTAGTGACATTCCTTCTGAATAAAAAATTGCATATATTTATCCTATTTTTAAACCCATAGATTAAGAATATGATATTGCTAAGACTTGTCTAATTACACTGCTCGAATGCGCTCGTAAAGTTTTATTAAAGTTATCACAAATTGTTATTAAAGATCATAGCTAAGTATAATATATTTAGAAGTAACAATTTTGCTAATCTTTCTGAAAGATCTAATGAAGATCTAATAAAAATTATAAACCTATTAATTGAAAATGCAAAAGAATACAAAAAAGAGCTATAAATTCTCCTTCAGGATATCTTTAAAACTTATGATAGAGTTGATCTAAAGTTACTTAAACTTGCATTAAGACGTATTAAAATATTAAACATTGTATTTTATGTTTAATTAACCTATTTATTAATAGAAAAATGCAGTCTTTACTAAGAATAATCTTTTAAATTATTATGACGTAAAAATAGAAATAGATCAAAGTAAAGTAATTTCTTCACTATTATGATGTATTTACTTCAACCTACTTCTATGTGAAGTTCAAAGGTTAAATAAAGGTTATATTATATAATACTTATATATTAATAATATTAGATCATTAAACAAAACATTTATCTTCACCTAAATATCAATATTAGCATTCATGTATGATTCAAATTGGATTGCTAATACAAAAGAAGATTTAAAAGAAATTTTAGTAATAGCTGATGAATTTTACAAGATTACAAAGACTGCTATTAATAAGAATAAATCACAGCTACTTATTAATACTACATCATCAAAAATACCAATTTTCCTAAAATTTGACCTAAATTCTATATTAATTAAATCAGAATTAGAAATAGTTAGATTCTTAGATGTCTGGATCAATATAACACACTCATCATTATTTATCAAAAAATAACTTCAGGACTACATTAATACCTTTATGACAACTTAAAAAATAAAGCCCTTATAGATAAATAGTTGATTTACATATTAAATATGACACTGTTTCTTATTCTTGAATAAAGAATGCAAACAACATCTCTCTTCTTCAAAATATGTTATTCATTTACTTATCATATTAAAAAACTCATGAAGTATAATTTTAATTATGCCGTCAACTCTCCAGATTGCATTTTTAAAGATAGCATTTTCTATATTCTCAATGATCTATAGAACTAATAACTCAAGACGATACTGATAACTATTCTATATCAATTTAACTCCAATTTAATTTATAATATAATTGCAAAAATTAGACTATTTTAACTTTAATCAAGATTTTCTTTACATGAATCATCTCTCTCCATCTAGAATAGAAAATTCGACAGATATTCTCATTTGAATATTATTGAAGCCACCATCAGCCTTCTGATATATAGTAATATAAATATATTAATTCATCACTTGTGAATAGAATAGCTGAAGGTGTTATTCCTTTATGCTCTTTTGTCCTGCTTAAAGACCTTGAAAAACACTTTTCTACAATATCTAAATTTAAATTAATTTACCTAAATCAATTTCTTGATAAAAGTGATACCCTTTTGCTCAACTAGAGAGATATCTTACATAGATCTATGTATGACAGATTTAATAGATCTGAAAAGCTTATATTATACAATTTAGTAGCCAACTTAGTTCTAGAAAATAATAGTAGTAAAATAATTATAGATAAATTTAGATTAGATTCTTTTAACAATAGTTATAGTAATAATAATTATATAGAATTTAGTATAGACAATAATAGAAAAAAGGAATTCTTGTCAGCTCACCATTTCTTACTGAATCAAACTATTATCAGAAAATTAATCAAAAAATTTCAGGAGTAAAATACCACTATTATACAGTACTATGTCAAAGCAGAGGATCGCTCTCTTCTAAAAAATTCTTATAATAAGACTTCAATCAATCCATGCTTTAGATGTGATATTAACAGACCACTATTTAAGGAATTTTGTCAGAACCTCCTAAGAATATGAACAAAAATTTTCACTAATTAAAAACATTTCATACATTTGTAATTAAAAAGCTGACAAACTTATTGTTCTTAAACCTGATGAGAAAGAACACTTCATTAAAAGTTATAGAATTATGAGATAACCTCCTGACTAATTGATTAAAACACATAAATATAGATTTCATAGTGTACTATCTGATGATCCTATCATCTTAGAAGCTAATGAGAATTATAATTCATTTCAGAATATTAACTTAATCAAAAAATGCATCAAAGAAATATACTATCAAGATCAATTTTTTTCGATAACTGAATTACTCTCATCCTTCACATTATTTCAATTTTATACTGATAGATCATTATCAAATTTAATAATACACAACTGTAGAATAGGCCTAAGCAGCGTTAGCAATTGGACTAATTGGACTTAGTAAATCTATGACATAATTAGAATTAGACATATGAATTTTATATGTCCAATTGTTCAATTCATACAATTGAAATGATAAAATTGTCAATATTAGGCATAGGATAGATATGTTCAGATTTAATAGATAACAATAAAATTATCTTTCAAGTGGCTATTACAAACTCACCATCATTAAAAAGAGCAGAATTCCTTATATTATTCATTATTATTATTGTTTGTTCTTCCAAGTCACATATTTTAATTTTCTTAAACAGCCAGACAATTATAGATGGTTTTAATAACTTTATTACAGAGGATTGTCTCACCATCAGAGGAAGAAAAAAAATTCTTAACTATACAATTTAGTCCTTATTAAAAAAAGTTTGCAAAAATTTATAACTCTTAAATATAATATATAAAATCAAAGAATACATAAGCAATTTTTATAATGAAATAGCAGATAAATTAGCTAAAGAGGGTTCTTTGAAATCTACCTTAAGTTTTAATAATACTAGTTTTGAGAAACTTCAACTACATTTAAAAATTGAGAACGTCCTGATTGAGTCTTCCTCAAGAAAATTCTAAAAAGAGCTGAATGTTTTGCTTCAATTTTCTTTATTTTTAGATCTAAATAGAAATTTTAACTACTAGACCTTTTCAATATTTTAGATTTCCACTGAAAAAGTTTTATCAGTTACATAAATATTATTGACAAAGATTCTGCTATTATTATCTTTTTTAAATAAAGAAAGAAAAAGACCTTTAAAATTAAATACATATTGAATGAACTTCTTACCCTATCTAATCTAGCTCTTAGAAGACTGGATATCTTGAAAATATTCATTTTGTTTATAAGAAAATGAAGATCAATATCACTTAGAAATGTTCAGCTAGAATGAATAACATTCACAAGATTTGCTCTTCTATATTAATATTTTTGAATTCTATATTTTATCAAAGTTAAAGAAAAATAATAAAAGAATATCTCTGTTCATGAATATTAAGTGGAATATTTTACAGCTTTTTGATTTATTTTTAGATGAAGACTTCTTCATATACATATCAAAAGGATTCTTTTTTTTAACCCTTTTTTATCTCTTTAGAAGGTTTTTCTCTTCTATAAATTTAACAAACATACTGGTTCACTCTGCTGAGTGTATAATATTCTTACTTTATGATGAAATTTAGATTTATAGATGTGCAGATATTATCAAGATGAAAAAAAGCAAAGGAATCTCTATTAAATATAAACAGCATCGTGCTAAAATTAAAAGTTTATCTAGTTTTAAATTTGTTACAAAAAATTTTTACTTTTAGAAAGAATAGACTATTTTGGCCATAAAATTTGATTTTATCTGATCTGATTTTTTAATGAGTATAGATAATTTTATTTGAATTTCCTGCTAAATTTTCAATTATTAGATACAGATTTATTGGTTAGTTAAAGACATTTTCTAATAATTAGTCAATTTAAATAGGTTTAAAATAGAGCTATAAGGAATAGTTATAATTTTTGTTTTTTTTGTTTTACTTTTATTTTTGCATTTTTATGTATTTAATTTTGTATGTTATAACTTTATTTTAATAAAATAACAGTATTATATCGTTAAAAAAAAGAAACTTAATCACCCTCACAAAAGACTTTACCTTCTTATTCGTCACTGTTTATGTCACATATTATGTGGCTATGCAGATCATTTCTTTTTTAGTGATACTCATTTCACAAAAAATTATTTTTTGGTAATTTTCGTTGTTATATAAAAATGTATGATGTAATAGTAATTTTTAAATATGTAATTGATTGCTATATTAGGATATAATCAACATTTTGATTGTTGTAATTAATTTTAACTCTCGTAATGTATTTTGACCTTTATAATTAATTTTGACACTCGTAATGTAATTTAACCCTCATAATTAATTTTAACTTTAATTTCAGCTATGATTTTAAAGTCAAAATATTTTGACTTTTGAATTTTAATTTTAATTTCATATATAATATAACCATTTTTTGAGTTAAATTTTGTGATCAAAATCTGAATATTAGTGAATATAATGTCCTAAATATAACTATTATCAGTGATTTTCTTTAATTGTATTTTCTTATATAAATAAAAATACCTTGAAAAAAAGAATAGATTAGGATTTGAAATATAATTAACAATAAATAATATTAATAAACTCTAAACACATTTTATAAATATAAAATATATAACTTTATTTTTGTTAACTAAACAAACTTCCTAATTAAAATTTTGTCAAATTGATTAGATTTAAGTCATAGGTATTGTCTCTTTGACTTCAAATCATAGTTAATTTATTTAATGGAAAGAGTAATATTAATAGTATTTATCAACTATCTTTGTATAACAAAATATTCTTAAAGAGAATAATTTTGTTGGCTTTCTTTTTGTTTTACCTTTGAACTATTATATATCATAAATAATGATAGACATTATGCTTTTTCAAATAAGAAAGACCTATAAATTCTTCTTTAGAATATGTCTAAGACGTATAATTAAATTAATATTTTTATGTTCACTAATATTTTTAAATACTTACTCCTCTTGAAATTGTTCATTTATTTCATTTTGAATATATTTATTCAATGAGAAAATTAAGTATTACGTCTTTTAGTAATATTAATACTTATAAAGTTTTTTTAGACATTAATCAAGAAAATATTATTTTACTATTCCTCTAGTATATCTACTATGACCTTCTTTTATGCAGAATATAAGACTATAAGTTTGATTATAAAATGATATATAAATAAAAATCAGATATTTGTCTTAATACTCTCTAAGTTATTATACAAATATCAATTTTAGCTTATATAGATGACATACTTTAGAATGCTAGATTACGTAATAATTTTTTAATATTATTAACTTAATAAATAACTTTTACAATCTTAATCAATTAGTTTAAGTCTGATTTACTTATCAATAAAAAAGTTACATATACTATTCAAATAAATATTAATAGTATTAGCCAAATTATTAATTCTATTAGTCCTTTAATCTTAATTTATTATTTAGGTATCTGGATATTATTCAAAAATAATCATCCATTTATTATCAAATAGGCTATACAAAATATTAAATACACAGTCTCTATTATGTCTTATAAAAGGTTTATTGATAAGCAGTTATCTATGTTTTCAATATAATTATAATATCTCATATCAAATATCTTATACAACTTTCTTATTTATCTGAAGTTAATTTTAACTGTATTATGGACCTATTAGAGCTTTATTAAAAAAAGCTTTATTTATCAAAAGATATAATATCATATATTTTACATTCACCACTTCTTTATGATCTAACTTACATTTATTACAAACATCTTCAGTTACTAAGTAATATCTTATTAACTATAATAAATAACTCTAAACTTTTAGAAAGAACTTTACTTATCTATTCTTTATCAATTATAGTATAATAAATAGCTGTTAGAATTTCTCTTTTCTATTAATCTTATTAAAATTTGAAAGGTTTTAAAGATTAGATTCCTGCTCTTTTATGTAATCTTAAAAAATGCAATATTAGTATTACTACTTTGAATCATCAACACAATAAAATACAAGATGATAATAATATTATTTGTTTAATTATTTCAAATGAATACAAGAATTATCCTATTGTTTACTAAATATTTCCTTATATTTATTGACCAATTAATAAACTGCAAATATAATTTAAACTGCAAAGGTAATTATATATTTACCTATGTTGATTTTAGAACTTTTTTATCAATTTCATGAGTAAGAAAATTCTAAATTAGTTTATTTTACTTCAATAGGCCCTCAATATCAACTCTCAACATCTCTTACCAGTAAATAAAACCTTTTCACATAATATAAAATATGGTTACTCTCTTACATCATCAATAAATAATAATTGTAGATATTTCTTTATTTTCAGCTGAAAATGATATGATAATCAGCCAAATTATAAATACTGAAAAAATATTTTTCTTGAAAACCTTTAAACCATTTAATAAATATTATCTATTCTATACTTCTATAAAGCTGTAGTTATTATATCCTTAATAATCTTACATTATATAAAAACAATTTAATGATAAAATCTAATATCAAATGTGTTTTTGCTGTTTTAACTATTATTATGTAAAAATTATTGCTAATTATACCAAAAAGAGTTTAATTTATTTATAGTCTGCATTTCTTATAAAAGAACTCTCTTTTTATTCTTTTTATTCATATTAAAAGATCATTTTTTATGACGATACTAGGGTAAATATCATATATTAATACTGTCATCATGCATACAATAGATGCAGTGAATTAATCACATGACATGCAATAGCATAACAAAAGTCTGGCATAATATATCAAATAATTTTTCTAACATAAGTGTTTTCAAGTGTAGAATTCTTGATTTTTAGTACAGTATCAATTTTGGCAATAACGTAGTGATATATTTAAGGCGGAATTGAATGCTATGAAAATGAAGTATTTTGGTAAATATGAATTAGAAATATTATTTTTTTACTCAGTTACTAATCTTCTGAATTTATGCTAAAGATTCAAAATTACTTAATCTCAAGGAAGTTTTATTATAAAGAAATATCATCTGTGTATGTGAGAGATAAGGGTGTGATAATTTATTTCAAAAATTTAGTATAGAATCTCATAATTAGCTGTAGTGATAGGAATAAATCAGTTATAGGTATTTTTTTAAAATGTGAAAGAGTTAAGAAGTAATATGATGCTAGGACTAGTATTAAATGGCCTAGGATATCATACATTTCATTTGCTTTTCTATCATTTTCTGATTTGCTATTTATCTAAAAATCAATAGAATTTACGCTTCGGGCATTTGTATCGAAATTTTTTTTCGGAAAATGTTTATATCTTGTTCGTTTCTAAGCAATAGCCAAATGCAATGCCTGCATATTGATCAGCCAATAATATTTTGCGCACGTGTTATCGGTTTTGTGTTACGAAACACGTGTTATTGTAGCCTAAAGGATAAAAACCGTTTTTTTGTAAACGCGCAACTAGTTAAACAAGATGCATCATTATTTCATTCGCAAGCCTTAGGAATGGAGTATTGAGGGTTTTCTAAAGAATGAGGAAATACCGAGGCGTAAGTTTAGGGATGGGGACGGTTCAAAAAAGAGCGACTCCGAGTCGGTTCTGGAACCGATTATAACTTCAACATATTCTGGGTTTTCCTGAGTTACAAACCATTTTTAACCAATTTTAAAAATCGAACCGGAACCGACTCCGGACCGGTTCCAAGAATCGGCTTAAAATCGGAATGTTATCAAATTAAAGGTAATAATAGAACGAATTTGTTTGATAACCAGTCAAAAAAATTTTTTAAATTGATCATCATATGATGTTCTATTAGTATAGATTTAACTTAACGCTCAAAGTTTAATTTACTTAAGAAGAGTCGAAGTATAACCGAAGAGGAACCGAAATGGAACCGATAGAACCGTCCACATCCCTAGGCGTAAGAAAGCACAAAGGTTGCTCAATAAATATCAAATGGTAATTTTTAAGATTTTTTTTTTATTAATAGTATAAACAAAAATTGGTGGCGTGACGAAGACTTTTAAGCTCCTCGTCATTCAAGTCTTTAAGCCGAGCCACGAAGCTAATTTTGAGGCACTGGTGACCTTTATGCTTGCCTGTTGTTCAAGCCTTTAAGCCGACTCAATTCTAGCCCACTAGAGCACGGGTGACCTTTATGCTCGCCTGTTGTTCAAGCCTTTAAGCCGACCTGGTGGACAAAAATTACTAACGTGCTTCTAAGAACGTTATTAATTTCCAAACTTTCATACTAGGGCGATAAAGCTGACCGAAAATTTTCTAAGAATTGGGAGTTGGACCGTGCATCATAGAAAATACTATCGATTAACATTGACAATACAATTTCAAGAGGTACACAAACAATTGGGAATCTTGATAGCAGTATTTTCGTTGCGAAAAGATATTATGAAGAAGAGGTACTGAAGCGCTTTTTTTAGCTAGATTGAGGGCCAGTCGAACTAATTATTTGGCATTCCTAATCCTTTAGGACAATTATGAAGAAGAGCAAGAACTAACAAAGCGAGTTCGGTTTAATGAAGAAAAGTCAAAAAAGAAATTATCATTAGGAAAAAAGGTCGTATACTTAAATTTTTGTCCGCAAAAAATAACACCTTTTATGAGAAGTAATCGGGTTAATTTTATTTCTTTGGGGGATATTTTACCAGATGGAACCAAAATTAAGAAATCGGCTTCTTTTAATCTTTTTCGATCGGATGATGATGATCCCTCCGAAGAGCACGATAGTGAGGATAGCGAACAAGATGACGACGAGATGTTCCATCTTCTGAAGAAACTCTCAATTCTGTACTTAGTAGTCGAAAAAAATGGATCTTGCCCTCTGGCGAAAATGTTAGTGATGTTATTACCAGAAACGTATCCGCAAATGCAAAGACAATTCAAAAGAAGAATACATCAGCCACAGAAAGTACCACACTACGTTACGAACAGTGTTGGCCACCTTTATAAGTCCAATTATTTTGACTGGACTTGGACTATAAGTCTAGTTACTAGAATTGTAAGTCCAATGGTCCAGTTTTAAGTCCAGTTAGTCTAATTTGGTCCAGTTGGCCAACACTGGTTACGGATCATCACGAATAATTGATTTGTCAACAAATATGAAGGATTGGTTCTCCGTAAATGATAGGAAGTTCATGATTAAAAATCATAATGCTATGTTGCAAGTTCCTGCCATGGAAAATGAAGAAAGTTCATTTGTTACTATAGTTGAGAATATATGTGCATTTTTTCGAGTTTACTTGTTCTGTATGTACAGTCGCGTCCGAAAGTGACGCCCGATTTTGTACGGTGTTACGATACACCAAATTTACATTATTTATACCTCCTTTTTTTTATTTTTAAATGTTTTTCTCATATTTCATAACCTAATAAACGCATTATAAAGTTAAAAAAATAATGTCACATAGAACTGAGTTAACTTCTCAAGATAAGGGGAAAATACTTGCATATATGAAGAATTTTAACCCTGCACAAATAGCAAGAAAAATGGGTCGTAACCCCACCACAATAAGAAGAATTATTGACAGATACAAGAAGACAGGGAAAACTGAAAATTTACCTAGATTAGGGCGTCCACCTGCTCTCGATGATAATGAGAAAATGCACTTATAAATGAAGTTACACAAGATCGACGCGAACCTTTACATGAAGTTATTAATTAATACACTAGGTTTAAATTGCAGCCTTACAACTGCTAAAAGAGCATTACATGATATTCCAATAAATACAAATGCATCTTCAGTAAACTTTTGTAATATAATAATTTCTAATTATGATTTTTTGATGAAGTTCATAATGAATACTTTTATTACATAAGATTGATAGTTAGATTTGTTCAAAAAATGAAAATTTACACAGTTCTATTTCAACTATGATCTGAATCTAGATCTTTACTCTTTTTAGACCTATTTATAGATAGAAAAGAACATTTTTATGATATATTAAATAATCTGCTTCTTCAAATAATGAAATACGAGAAGAAACTTATCAAACAACATTTAATAAATTATGATCTAAAGTGAAAACTTTACCACTATTGATCATATTAGTCATATCTGTAACTTGAAAAACTATAATATCACTAAAATACTCAAAGACTTTTAAAATAAACTAATATTAATTCAAATAATATAAATCTTTCTACTGCTAGATAATTACTTCAACTTAGCAATTATAGTTAATATTATAAAATAAATAAAATTAAAACTTTTTTTCTTTCAAACTTTATATGAACAGATAATATTTATTTTCACTAAAAATAATTAGAGTTTTAAATGAGTCAAGTCAAGTTGAGTTTAAAGACTAACTCTATTTGACTCATTTTTTTTAAGTTGAGTTGAGTTGAATTTATTTTATAAAATCTTTCAATTTAATTTTATTCGAATTAAATAAATTTTAAACTCAACTCAATTTGACTTAACTTGAGTTTAACTTGACTTAATTTTGACTTAAATTTATTCAAGTTGAGTCAAATTCAAATCAAGTTTTAAGTTAAATTTTAATAAAAAATCTATTTTAAATTATATTATATTGTAAATTTTATATATTATTTTATTAAATCAAAATCATAAAAAAAAATAATACAAAATTATTTATTTAAAAAAAACATAAAATAAAGAATTTTTATATTTTCTTTAAAATAGTTTTCCATCAAGTTTTAAGACACCTACATGCTCTAATTGTTTCTGCTGATAGATTACATCTTTTTTGTGTAATTAGATCAGTTCTTTTAGAAAATGCTCTTTCTATCAGAATACTAGTAGCTTAAAAAATAAATATAAATAAATTAGATTGATTAAATTAAAGTTATAAAAGTTTCATAAAAATTTAAATTTATTTACCTGGAATTGCTAAAAATCTCTTGCCATTTTTGCTAAATAAGGATATTATGATTTATTTAACTAAAAAAAAATAAAATTAATAAGTGTAAAACTAATATGAAATTATTAATAAAATATATTACTTACTTTCCACTATTATAATAAATTAGTCTTTAAAAGTGCAAGTAGAGCATTAAAATAATACTCTATTTTATTAATATTTTCTACATATTGTCTTTTATATATATAATTTAATAAATTATCATCAGAACTTTCATTTAGATTTTCTAAATCTATCATCGATGATGCATAATGCATATTAAAATAAGAAGTAAAAATTTCTCATAATTCTTCAATAAAATTCACTTTCTAACGATTATCAATATAATATGATAATTTTAATCTTAGATCAAGTACTATAAATTAATAATAATAATTAATAATTTATAAATTAAAATTAATAATAAAAATATAAAACTTACTAGTAGTAATAGGATAAGCATTAGAATTTTCATGAAGATAATATTTTTTTAATTTTTCTAATGTAGTAGCAGCAGCAGTATTTATTTCTATTGTTAAAGTTTTTATTTGAAAATCTTCAATCATATTCATTAACCAATTATAGATTGGTATTGTAATTGTTAAAGTTGGCAAACTTTTATGTAAAACATATTTTGTTGCTTGTGCAAAATACTATAAATAAATTAAATAAATTAATTAAAAAAAAATATTATAATACAAT